AACAGACCAGACATCACACTCATTGACAAACACAATAAAATCACATACATTATAGACATAGCCATTCCAAACACTCACAATATACAAAACACGTTCAATGAAAAAATTAGCAAGTACACAGAACTCGCCAAGGAAATAAGACATCTGTGGAGGATGGAAAGGGTGCTTATTGTATCTGTCATTCTCTCCTGAACAGGTGTGATCCCACACACACTTCACAAAAGCCTGGGAACATTACAATTGAATAGAAATACATACATCACACTACAGAAGGCCACTATATTGAATACATGCCATATTGTTAGGAAATTCCTGAATACAGACACAGACACACTTATTTAATTTTAGTTCTTGGTTGCTATGCCTTGACTCTTGTCAGGCATAGTACACAGCCACCGGTGTGAACCAAGTATAATGCACTAAACCCAACGTAATAATAATACAGTAATACCCCGAACTTACGCGATAGGTGGGACCGAGCGATAACCGCGTAAGTCGAATTCACGTAATTCAGGATGTAATTTCGCAATTTGTGTAAAATCCAAGTCAGATGTATGTAAGCTAATAAATGTTCTCGTTAATCTTATCTCGTCTTTTGATTCGTTTATGGTTACAAGAAATCACCACATAGTCTCTCGAGTCTCCGTAGATATAACAAACACAGAAATAAATTGTAGCTATGTGTCGATTCCGCGCGACATGTCCAAACATGTAAGCTGAACAATAGTGTGAGGGGAGTGAGTAATCAAGAGTTGCGTGGTGTTCAAACAAAAGACAAATCTACGAGATTTGAAAATCGCGTAAGTCAGGGTAGCATAAGTCGAGGTATTACTGTAATAATAATAATACAGATACTATGGGAGTTTTTCCACAAAAAACAAGAAACATAAAGTAACTTACAATACACCATTAAACTTACACTCTGACCACCTGGACATAGCTCAACACACAAATAACATAGACATCATTAAGAAATCATGGCCCCAAAAGGCACTTCGTGGCAGACATGCCTATGATCTAGCTCGGGACTACATTAACAAAACTGGTCAAACTATTGGTTAGCTAGGGATTATCTCTTTGGTGAGATGGGGGTTTATGGTTGCTATTCAAGATCAGGTCATAAACACTGAAAACTACATAAGACACATTCTGTGGAATTAATCATTTGCAAATGACTCTTGCAAAAAATACTACATTCTGCCAGCAACAATATGACATATAACTTCTAGTTGCAAGCTTTTAGCACAAACAAACTATGGTGAAATGTCAGTATAACAAATGCCAGTTTAACAAAATTTTCAGTATAACGAATATATATCTTGAATCTCCCACTAATTTCCTATTCAGCTTAATGCAAAAATGTATCAGTTTAACGAATACCATTATAATGAAAATTTCAGTTCAATGTAATAAAAATTCTGTCCATTACGAAAGAATAGTTTCATTATGACAAAATCTGTTTTTATTTTATTTTGTTTATTTTTTTGTTTTGTTTGTTTTTGTTTTAAGGGGTGTTGTTTGTTTTTATGATTATGGTTTTGTAGGGGGTGGAAATCAAATGTCTATCCAGACTTTTACTGTAAATTTAATGAAATAAATAAATAAATGCATAAATTGTTCATTATTACTAAATGATGAATATTACGTCAAACAGTCTGGCAACACTAATTTTAATCCTCAGTTATGGTTTTGTTTTGATGCTATTACTCTACAGTTTATTTTTTTTTAAGTTGATGAGAAAAAATGGAGAAAAATAAAAAAGCAGTTTTCTTTGGAAGAGAATATCAAAATATTAGATAACATGCAAAATAGAATTAAACAAAATGATGTGCCTGACTGCCTATTGGAACACTGTGTCACAGTACTGGATTTTTTGAAAAAACTTTGATTAAAGAAACAACACACAAATATTACATTTCTTATAGCAGAAAGAAAAAACAGTTTCAAGCAGGAATAACAATTAGAGAGGCAGGAGTCAAACTAATTGGTACTATTACAAATCGTTATTTTAGTTGTATATTTTTTGATATTTTTTTTATTACAGATAAATTTTTATTCTATATTTAATATAACTTAAATTCTGAAAATGTGAAATTTGGTTCCATATATTAATAGATAAATTGCGTTTTTAAAAACTTTCTTACTACAAAATGTAATTTTTTTTAATCATCAATAAATTACTTTTATCCTTGCATTTTCGACTATATTTCAATATAATGAAAATATTTTGATGGTTTCCTCAATTTCATTATACTGACATTTCACTGTATTTACATAAGCATAATCAAATACCAAATTTAATATACCAAGAACTTGCACAAAAACAGATTATTACGTATGCACTAGGTATGCAAAAATGACACACAAAATATTCTATGACAGCCATAATCAAATAAAACAATTTATCACAATAGATCTGACATCACTTTCATTGACAAATGCAATAAGGTTGCTTATATAATAAAATCTCCATTCCAAACTCTCATAACATGAGAAATGCTCACTGAAAATCAAGTACACTACTCACCCAAGAAATAAGGCAACTGTGGAGGATGGATAAGCTGTTTATTGTGCCTATTGTCCTCTCTTCCACTGGTGTCATACCACATACTCTACATAAGTCTAGAAATGTTAAATCTTAATAAAAGCAATCATATGCCACTGCAGAAAGAATATTGAACACATGTCAATTGTGAGGAAGTTTCTAGACATACATACACCAATAACACAGTAGCTTATTGTTTGAGCGCTATACCTTGACTTTAGTTTGGCATAGTACTTGGCATCATTATCAGTTGAGGATGACTTTTGCAAAATAATAATAATAACTTAACATTATTATTATTAATGTCAGGTAGTTTTTAATAATAATAAAGTAGTTTTCAATAATAATAAGTTGATTACTAAGTTAGAATTAATTATAAATTATTATTATTTCTAAGTTTTAAGTAATAAAAATTCTTTGATATAATATTTTTTTTAATTTTAATTTCTTATGATTATTTATAGCATGACTATGAAAAGTTCAATGATACTTATGCTGATTTGAAATATTGGGAAGAAAAGTGGAAGAAAACTGGAAAAAAATTAGATTCTGATGAAAAAATTGACAAGGTGAATTTCATAATGAATTTTAAATTGGGCATGTTTAAATTTTATATTTTCAATCATTTAATTAAATTTATTTTTATTTATAGAAATCAATGGATTTTCTCAATTGTCTAGATAAATTGAATGATAAAATGGATTCTCTTAGTGTAGAAGAGAATAGTATGTAGAAAATAATTTACTAAATTTAATAAAATATATTGTTAAAATTTTATAACTGGGTTTAAAATAATGTAAATAAAATATTTCCAGTTAATTATTATGATTATTTTATTTTTATGATTACAGAAAATATCATTACTTTCTGTAAAAAATTTTAATACTTTTTTTTCTGAAGTGTATATAATAATATATCTATATGTCTGATATCATTTATGGAAAATAGTTGGTATGTGGAATATACAGATACAAATAGTGAAATTATAAGATTATGATCAATTATTATTGTCGTAAATAAGTCTACATGAAAATCAAGACAATAAAAATATTGAATGGTTGTAATTAAAGTATATCTATTCAGTGTTGTCTAGAAGGATATTTAGCAGTCTAAGTGTAATTAAATTTCGTATGGTGACATTTCAGGATATGTGGAAGACATTCCATTAAAAAAGTTAGTACCCAAACTTATTACTATGGCACTTTTAATGTCACAAGTTATGTGATCTTAATCTGTGTGACACTTAAAAAGCATAGTTTATCAAGGACAAATTTGGCAGCTTTAAAAGTCAGTATCACACTGCATGTGAGAATAATAATGAAGGATCAATTACAATCATCTGTTGAGCACACTGTTTGTTGTCTTCAGATTTTACACTATCAGTATGGAACCACAATAACCTCTGTATCACCAAGGCTTCTTTATTTTGTACAAATAAAATATTTGTTGTTTACAGTGATGAAATTGCCATAAGGTTTGATACTAACTTTTTTAAGGAAATATATGCTGTGTTTTAAAATGTTGCCATACCAGATTTGGTTGCATTTGGCCAGCTAAATTCATTTGAACTTGGTTATAATGAACATGGATGTAACAATTTTATGATTATAATGAGCAAAATGCCATAACAGTTTTAATTTACACTTATTTCTATACATTTTCTCATGTTTATAATGTGTGTACTTTATAGATATACTGAGCAAAGTTTCAGTAACTATACAAACATGTGAACATTCTTAATTGTTGAAGTAGTAGAAAATGCAGTACGGAATTATTGGAATAGATAAAAAAGATGGATAATTAGTTTTACAATCTGCATCGATTACAGGCCTATTTATCACAACTTTCTTTTTGGGGACTGTCTCTCTTTTCCTTGACTAGCTTCTGACTTACTCTGCCAATTTACCTAATCATTACTGTGATTGTAAAATTGCCCTATACTCTAGTTAGAAACAAACTGTTATATGAGAAGGATATCTATGAAGAAAAGAAAATGTCTCTTGGTTTACAAAAATGTAGAAATTATTTGCGATTTAGAACATGGTGCTAAAAATGTTGAAGTGTATAAAAAGTTTTCTTTATCATCTTCAACAGTATTGACATTATCAAAAAATAAAGCAATCATGAATTTTAATATTTGTAGATAAAAAGACTGACTGAAATCGGACATATTATTAATTAGTATTATCTTAATTAAATTACGAAAAAATAAATTGTTTAATTGTTTAAAAATTACAGTATAATGTAATTACTTTTTTTTAATCAACTTGTTTAGAATTAAAAATTAAAAAAGATTACACTAATTATTGGTAATGTAGCTAAAAATTTTGCCACCTGCAGGGCAGCACTACATGTTTGCGCCTGAGGTAGCTGCCTGTTCTCTCCCTAGTTATGTCACTGCTCTTCATGAATATAACAAGTATGGCTATAACAAGTAAATCTTGCTAGTCCCCTAATGCTTGCTTGTTATAACTAAGTTTGACTCTCTCTCCAAACTGTGTTGAATAGATATATTTCAATTATGATCACCCAGCTCTTTAAAATTGTATATAAACGTTATATTATTCAATTAAAAATTATAGATTTTATTGATACTTTTATGTGTAATATGTAAATTTTAAAGTATACATAATTATAAGTCATGTAAGTTTTTCATGCTATCAAAAAGACCACTCTCTTTAGAGAACTTTTAATGAACAATAATTGTTCATTAAAATTCTCTATAGGCTTAGGTATTGAATTATTGAGTATATTTAAGAAATTAATTGCATAATGAACATAGCTCTCTAGAGACAAGTTTATATTGGAATATTTGTTTACCATAACATAATTCTAATATTGATATATATATTCTTAAATTTCTTAATGAAAACATAATTAACTTATAACATTATATCATGTGTTTACTGTACTTTACTGAAATATTTTGTATTTTAAATTTAGTTGTACAAACCTGAGCTATTATTATATGAACAATATAAAATTAAAAATTTATATTATTAAATGTTAAAATTGTTATAAATTATACATTTTAAGAAAGAATAAAAATTATATGTTGCAGATACATCAGATGACAATAGTGATAGTAGTGAAGAATTATTTGAATTAGAATTTCAGCAGCATAAGCGAAATTATTACATGAATAAATTAGATTACGAAAATGTTACTATGTAAGTTTCATTTTATGTAAGTTAAAAATTTTTCAGTAAAATTTTAATAATCAAATATATATATAAACTTTTTTTTTAGAGAAGTGTTAAAAGAACAAGCATACTGTTATGTACAAGCCATTCAGTGGAATCTTCATTATTATTATAATAGTGTAATTTCTTGGAGTTGGTAAGTATTTCAAAACAGTTGAAATGCTTTATAATGTAAAAATCAATAATAAAATAAAATGAACTATGATCATAAACAACATAATCATATATTGTGATTATAATATGATTGTAAAAATCATAACAATTATAAGTTATGATTGCCATATAAGATAACATAAGATCATAATCATTTTAAAATAATAACAAAGAGTATCAAATTAAAATTAAATTCAGATGTTTTAATGATGATAAAAAATGAATTCATATTACAAAGTTATAAGATTAAAAATAAAATGTTTGATTTAAATATTAGAGAGAACATTGTCTCCCTAGTAAGCAATTTTTGATGAAGAACATATGATAAGCTAAGATCTATCATCATCATACTTATGAAATTTGTCTTACAACTTTTATTTACCACTATTATTAAAGCTACTTTTAGCTTTAATAATTTAAAAGTTTATTACAGAAACCATTACATACTTTTTAAATTAAAAAAATAAAAATAATAATACAGAAGTTTAGTATTGAAGAAAATAGAAATGAATTGACAAGAAATTGCTTGAAATGTGCTCAGCTATATTTAGATTTGAAAAGATACTTCACACATCTCAATAATAATAATAATTATTATTATTAAAATATTAATAATAATAATAATAACTCTCCCGTGGTCACCACCTGGTCGTGGTGGGAGAGCCCAGTAATTTTACTGAACCATAGGGCAATGCAGGCTGGAGCACAAGCTCCTGGTAGGGACACCCATGCCAGTAAGGTCTATGGGGAGAAATGAAGCTAAGAGTGACCACACACCCACATTCTGTGGAGATA